TGGTAAACAAGCAGGAGGCAAAATTCGGACGAGGATGTTGATGTCAGCGCTGTGATATGTTTGGCAAACATGCAGTTGCAATGACTCCCCCATGTTGCCGATATGGGGTTCCCGACGCCGGCAGCCCTGGATGGGAAATTGTAAGCATCACAATTAATAAAGAGAAGCCTGTTGCTCACCAGGATATCTCGAGCTGCCCAGTCGTCTGTGAACAAAGCAGAAGTCGCGCATGTGGCGGCATGTAGGGTATTTGAGAAAGTCTCGGGTTCTGAATTGACAAAGGTTAATTGCATCGCTCCTCGTGATGCATAATGAACTTATTAATTGTGCATAGCGTTGGAAAGTATTAGCAGGTGCCCCCTCGAGGCATTTACGTACCCGGGACTGGTCGCCTTTTGGGTAGCACTAAGGCCTAAGATGCGGTACTGGGCCAACACGTTTGAGGTATCTAGGTACCCAGTACTTTTGCTCGCGACCTCCGTTTTGAAGAACAGCATGGCTCTCACGAGGTAGGTCTCGACTTGTCTCTCACAGGCCGTTGAAAAGTCTAATGTTAAATCAGAATTCTGATATGCTGCCTTGTCAGACCCAAGTAGGCGATAATCACCAAAATAGCCCTTGGAGTCCGTAGGCACCTGCCCAGGTACATAGGTAGGTACTTTGCATGGCTCTCTGCTTTTCCAAATTTCAAGTTCCGTGTTTGAGTAAGCCTACCAGAAGAGGAAAACTTGATGCGTTCCAAACTTCTCCTCAGAACCAATTCTCGTTGAGAGGTATATCTCCGCATGAGCCCAATGCTTGCTCATTAGGCAAGTTGTTTCTAATAGTACCTTTTTCTTCCACCTTGTGTTACCCGTCGGCGGGTGTAACGCCAGCCTGTCTTTAGGTTCTCCACATTCAGAACACAACGCTCAGTTAGGTTCTGTGTAACTGCCTAATGTACGTACAGTCACAGGCAACCCCACCCCATTGTCCTAAGACACACATTCACTCACTCCAGATTACGACCGTCAGTCAGGTTCGCTGCGTGTCTCTGCGCCTCTACAGGTACGTACATGGAACTAATTGTGTGCAAGAGGCTTGATCTCAAACAAACTCTCGCCTACCGCATACTAAGCAAAGAAAGCAGCTCGGACACAGGCGACGGGTGATTGATCAACAGACCAAGGAGAGACCGTTCCCAGTTCCAAAAGAAAGCAAAAACATTGAATGCACACCATATCATACCATACCAAAATCGAACTTGAGCTGATTTACCTCACAAGATTCAAATTTCAAAACAAAAAACAAACATGGCCGATGTACCGCTGCGGGTAATTTCAGAGAACTCAGCTTCCGAACGGCGCATCACGCCATCGTGGTCCATCACCACGCTCAAAGCAAAACTCGAGCCCATCACAGGCGTACCCCCCTCCGCGCAGAAGCTCAGTCTCAATGCTTTAGGAGGGTCGGATGCCATCCACGTTGAAGCGGCAGATGAGGACAACACCCGGTTGTCCAGCTTTCCCCTGGCGCCTTACGCCGAGCTGCACGTAAGTTTTTGGTTATAGCATTTCATTTGCTCGTCAGGCAATCCGTTCATGGACCAGGGCATCAGCAAGAACACCAAAGAAGCAGAACCCTCAATGTGATGATAGTAAGGCATGATTGAACAGACGCCGCGTGCCACTTTCGGTTCTTCCTCCTCCTCCTCCTCCTCCTTCCCCCCTCCTCTTTCCTACTTGCCAGGTCCTTTTTAGGATCTGCCCTCAAATGTGTGACAAAAATGTCTCATGGGCATCCTTTCGCATGACCATCATGACAGGGGACAAATATAACTGAGTCTACGGAGTACTTGGTTTGGCAATGATTGGGGGCTGTTGCTGCCTCGGCTGGTCGTCTCCATCCTTGCTCCATTCGTCTTCTCCTCTTACCCTGATTTGCATTGAGCGAGCACGTGTTTATTTGCAGAGTTGGGCCATAGGTTCGACGGCTCACTGCGAACTTTTGGGGGCTACTAGCTCAGCACCACGGGAGCGTGGAGTTTCTTGGCAATAAAAGCAGAACAAAGGTAGCATGGAAAAGCACGGGAATCAGTTCGCTAACGGGTTTTGTCCTCATTTGACAGGTGGGGGATACCCGACCACCCGGCGCAAGGCCCAATTACACCGACACATCTGGGGTCGATAAGTACGAAATGCCCGAGGAAGAGTACGAAAAGAAGACGGACTCGGTATTGGCATGGAAAAAAGCCCAGAAACTTGGTCGTTTCGACCCAAACGCCCCAAGCCACGAGCAAGCCAGACTGGAGGCTTTGGAACAAGAGGTACGCCAGCGTGGCATTAAAGTCGGTAAGAGGTGCCGTATCGGCGGTGAGGACACTAGGCGCGGAGTAGTCAAGTATGTGGGAGAGGTGAAGGAGATCCCGAACGGCATCGGGCAATGGGTGGGTGTCCAGTTAGATGAACCGGTGGGCAAGAATGACGGCAGCATTGGCGGCTGTCGGTATTGGGGAGAACCGTCAACAATGAAGCATGGTGTGTTTGTGCGTCCAGAGCGAGTAGAGGTTGGGGAGTTTCCGCCTATGGATGATCTCGAGGACATGGAGGAGATTTAGACAACAACAGAAACAAGTCGCCAAAACCAGACACTTGCATGAGCATCCTCGACTGAGCCACCAAATCATCCGACAGTCTTGGATCTGAAAAAACTAAACATTGCGCAATGAGTTTGTGACAGCTATGGATCTAGCCTTTTCTATCCCAAAAGTACATCGGGCAGCTTCATGGTGGCAAAGTTGTCGCCCTGCCTAGGGCCTCGGGGGAACATGTTTCCATTGGATAGACGGCACAGGAAGTTGTCATCCAGACTTGGCAACCTGGATCTGCCGTCCCAAGCACCACGGGGGCGAAATCTATGACTTGGTCAGGGTTGTGAGCAGAAGATAAGAGCTGGAAACAAAACACGGTTCGCCACAATATCCCTGACAGGTATAGCTAAGCTGGTCGATCAAAGCGGCCTGGGATATTAGCTGTTTAGTGAGTGATGAGTGAAGTGTCGCGAGGTGCTAATCTGTGCCACGGATGTCACGGGTCTGACGATTCCGATCTCCCAGCGCGTTTGAGAGGCCAGCTACTTAGATTATTATGGAGGCGCCAGTACCAGTCCAAAGTACTGGGGCCCGCGTGCAAGAACTATTGTTCGGCTGGATTTCTTCCGATTACTATTAGACAGGGCTACGGAACGCGCCTCAACGCCAAGGACAGCTTTGGAAGCATTGGCAAAACATTGGCATTTGGTCACACGCATGCATGTTGTTGTAGTCACAGGGTAGCCCACTTGAAAGAAAGGAGTTTGGTACGACATGGGCATGTACAACAAGAATGAATCGCCAAGCCGGCAACTGGTTGTCAAGGACCGGGGGTTACTTTTTTTTCTTTCCCCTTTTGAAGACCAAAAAAGGTAAAATAAAAAAGACGGGTTTGCACTTTTCCGTTCTGGTTCCCCGGGTTTTGGTTCTTATTCTACTTTGAGTTTTTGGCGATCGAGCAGTACGTATGTATGGATGCTTTAGAGTTTGAACTGGCGTATCAAACAAGGGTGTTGGGTCTATGGAACAATGGAGAACGGTGTCAGAACTGCCTGATCAGTGACATGACACAGGATCCAGCAACATGCCGACCCCAAGATGGGTATTTCTGCTAAAGAAACAAGCCGAACTCGGCCACAGGGTGTCTAGGGTATGCTGGGTAGCGTGTAGGCTGATTGCCGGCGGGATTGATTGGTGGGGTTTTTCTTCCCAGCAAAAGCGGCAGCCTAAAACACGCCAGCAAGTCAATGATGTCGAGAAGGATCAGTTGCCGGGAAGCAGAACACATGGGTGGGTGGCTGAAATGGCCCAAACCCGGACGCTCCAGGGATGTGGAACTATTTGTGCGTGGTCCGCGGGCCGGGAAAGGAGGCGCGTGTATCAAGCGTGTGACAGCATCGTCCCGTCTCGAGTGCGTTGGCTCGATATGGCAAAGTCAGGAAGAGAAGAGAAGGGCGCTTGAGGCCTCCGCTTGCCAAGGCAGGAGGATTGGGCAATGGGCAATGTGACGGGCCGTTGATGGTGATACGTGGGTTTGAGATGGGATATGCAAACGTATGTAGAGCGGCCCTTTGGGCAATGCAGAACCGACCCCCTTCCAAAACTAAAAGATCTGGTACGGTTATGCACCTTGTGGCCAGGGACGCGGCGGGGTGCAAGACGAATGCGGTGTTTCTATTTTAGGAGGAAGGTTAGATCGGGCGGTGGTGAATTGCCTTTGTATCTGCAGCATCTTGTCCGTGATATTTCTTACGGCTGGGTTCGGCCGAGATGAGATGATGCCTCCCTGCTGCGTCAACCGCGTTGGCGACTTACACTGACTGCCTTTGGCGTACGTAACTTGTTCGTCCATCGTCACATGTGCCGTGATGGACGGCGCCGAGGGTGATCCACTCGCTGTGAAAGAGACGTTTGATTTGCATGAGATGATGGCCGATGACCGGAATAGTGTCCTGGGCGGGAACATTGTATCAGGCCTTGGTTGGACGGGACGGCAGAGTTTATGCGAGATTCCGTCTGTTGAGGAGAACAGCGCCGCTGTAACATGCTGAGCCCATTGTTGTGCGCTGTTTGCTTCCAGTCTGGAGTTGTTTGTGATGGATGGCCAACGAGTGCCGTCGTCGCCGTCTGTTCGCGGGTTCGTGGGCGCTTGACTGGCGCTTGGCGGGCGCTTGGCGGCGCTTGGCACGATGAGCTCATGTTGGTCGGTATATGTATGATGGTGGCCATGGTCCAACAGCAACGGCGGCCGTGGGCAACTGTCGACACTGGGGGACAAGTGACACGCTGTGAACCCTTTGGCACCAGAGACACTACTACTCCGTACGTACTTGACTACCGTTGACATGGACCCGCAACCGGCGGCCATCCCCACCACCATTTGCTCGGCGGCCGACGCCGCCCCAAGTGCATCCAACGTGGGCACTGGGCCATGTCTCAGCGTGACCCCGTCTCCGTCATCAAAACCAACAGTACTAGTGCGAACCTATTGGTTTTTCACCCTCATTTCGCTGCCGACGTCGACACCGGCCGTAAACCACGTTGCACAACCAATGTCGCTTCGCTCGACTTGAGCCCCGATGACTACGACCGGTCGCCCTCGCCGATTGTCGATGCGAGCACCCATCCGTCCATCTGCCCGTTGCCCATCGCCCGACAGTCCGGCTGTTCCGACCTTCAACGCCAGCCTCTTGAACCTGCATTTGCCCGTGACATTTTCTGGCGGCGACAAGGTGGAAATCACCCACTAAACGTACGAATGGCCATGGCCGACTGCTTGGCTGCCAGCCTTTATGGCGGTTCTTGGTTGACGCTGCTCGTCATGTTTTTTGCCATGTCGGCGGTTTCTGCGCAGGGTGACATCACCGTTGTTACGTCCGCTCAGAAGGATGTCCCAGATTGGGCGAACCCGAGCGCCCTCAATATGGCCATCACGCTTCAGCCTGGGGGGAAGCCTTCATCGTCGATGTACACTGTGATTCCCTTGACGGCGAGCGTGGGGCTCAATGGAACTGGTGTGATCCGTGGGGTGAGCGCTCGCTTTTTGAGAAGCCCTCATGGGAGACAATTCACTGCTAACTGCCTGATTTTCTAATTCTTTTCGCTCCACAGACTATCAATATCATGGGCCACCTCAAGGCAGCCAATGTTTCTTCCTACAACGACTTGTCCGGCGGTGACACCATCGCCTTCTTATCCTGCGACAAGCCTGCTTCAGACGGATTCATTGATCCCGATAAGATGCTCAGCAGACTGATGAAGGCGTCTTTAAAGGCAATCATCCTCTATACCATTGATCAAAACATCTGTCTCATCTCAAACGAGGACACTCTGCCCTATACAAGCATCTTGTCCATGGCCGACTCTGGCGAGGCGGGAGGAGTCCTGTCGTATTTGAACGGTACGCAGCCGGTAACGAGTGCTGATGCCCAGATATCTGGCAAGGCCGGGCAGCCAAACCCCAACTCTGGATCAGGCGATGGCGGGGGAAGCAATTCGGCAGTTGCTATGAGCATTTTGTATAGCATCACTGGTATCATCACCTTGCTATTCTTGGTCATCATCGCCACGGGTGCCATTCGTGCGCATCGATATCCTGAAAGATACGGGCCGCGCGGAGGACTTGGTGGACGACCTCGTCAAAGCAGGGCAAAAGGCTTGGCTCGTGCTGTGCTGGACACAATTCCGATTGTCAAATTCGGGAACCAAGAACCTGCAAAACCTGATCCAGAACTTGAGCTTGACGGTACTATGGCAGATGGACACGAAACGACATCTCACAGAGCCGTGACCAATACCGGGGAGAGCGAGCCGCCGGAAGCCAAGACTGCTGCTGCTGCTGCCGCCGCCCTCGCGGATAAGAAAGATAAAAGTGGGCAATCCTCGTCGGAGCAGGCTTCAAAAGCGCCTGACGCAGCTTCTGCTCATGCTGAAAATGAAGAAGGGGACGAGCACATTGGCTGCTCTATCTGCACAGAAGACTTTACGGTTGGCGAGGATGTGCGAGTATTGCCTTGCAACCATCAGTTCCACCCCCATTGTGTTGATCCCTGGCTTGTCAACGTTTCTGGAACGTGTCCCCTGTGGTAAGTGGACTAGCGCGGGAAATCCCTTCGTATTAGGAGTCATACTGACAATTTTCGTAGCCGTTTGGATCTTCGCCCTGGCCGGCAGAGTCCCAACGACCAGTCCTCGTCTAATCCAGAAGAAAATCTGGCGCCTCCCTTGGTTTTGGAAGGAGACGATGGCGACAGCTCTCATGCAACTCACAGTAATCGACTCAGTCGTCTGTTGGATGTTAATAGATTACGGCAGGCCGGTGTGGAAGAGCGGATAGCTGCCCTTCGACAGATGCGAGCCCACTCTGCAAACCACGAAACTCGAGAGCCGGAGACTGTGGAGGACAGACCACAAGCTTCTCGGTTGACGGACAAGCTCAAGGACAAATTCCGTATACGAACGAGATCTCAGTCCGCGAACCCATGATGGCATGGCCCCAGTATACTCTCATGATATATGTGCATGTTTTCTTCGTTCGGAATATTCGCATGGCATGAATCGCTTCGCACGCAAATGTTATAATGACTGATGGGTGTTTGCTAAAAGAATGACATCTCGCAACTCATGTAGCCGGGCTACGATAAGGCGATATAGGACCTTGATAAGGCTTTGATCTGGTAATATGATTGGCGTTGGGCTACTGACTTTCCTGGAATTACTTGCTCAAGATAGTTAAGAAGCATTGCGAGGCGTTATATTTGAGACTGGTCTAGAGGTGCCAATGATTTATTTGGTATCTTGTAGTTTAAGATAAATGTAGTCTTGTGCTGCTCCTGGGCCTGGCCTTGTGCTTGTGATGTTTCGTGTGGCGAGAACAGGTCTTCAGGGCAAATTGCCCAGAGGGCCGTGTGATTTGGAGGATGGCAATACCTAGCCTTAGACACGGAGATGACGGACTGTTGTACAGCGGCGAGGGACGCGTGTATTGGGCGATGTGGTCGGTGTGCAATGAGTCTTCAAAGGCCCTGTCTCGTCCGAATCAAGAGTCCAGCATCCCATCAATCGTGTGTCAGCTATACCAGAAAATATCAGGCAACCCCAACCCATCCACCACAGGGATGATACACACTGCTCCTGCTAAATTTATATTTGAGGATATTTGGAAGGTCCATACCGCAATCGCAATCCAAGACTGACCACTCGCCCTTACGCTTCCAGCTTCAGATCTTTATGCCTTCATCACGACAAAATCATCAATCACCTGTGCAACAACGGCCACGATTTACCAGGACACGCGAGTGTGGCCTGGTCACTTCGTTTGCTTTGTTGCCAATCCTCTTGCCTCTATTCCCTTTAAACGCTACACTTCGATTTGCCGACACAAACTTTTCAACTCGTCGATCAATGGGGATGTCGGGACGCTGAGATATTACGATTTTAACATGGCCACGAGAACAGTCCCGAGCGTCGGAGAGCCAGTTCCCACAGCAGGAAGGGTCTTGGGCTTGGTTGTTTCCCTCCTCTCGACAAGCGTGTTGACTCTGTTCCTAAGTAGGTGCCGTACTGCGTGGATGCTTGTCTGGTGCGCGTTGGTTTTGACACGGCGCAGCGCAGCGATGTTTGGCTATCCGGTCTTGGAGTCGTTTGCCCATTGTGGTGTGGCGTGAGTTTCCGTGACGCCAAAACGAATCGATTCGGGTGACTGCGCTGACCCGGACAGTGGTGTTTGCCATTTACGCGGATTCGTACATCTTTGTCTTTGCGTCGGCCATGCTGCAGCACTCCATCGGCTTGAATGCTAGCTTTAGAACCTGCGACAGCGCCATCTTGATCTGCCTCGTTTGTTATGTTACTACCAAGGTGAGAGAGCGCCTGGACACTGTCGATATTCGGTTTTCCCCTAACAGCTGAGCTAGGTTGTGAGTAGAGCTGGGACTCGAAGCCAAGTCCGCCGACGCTGACGGTTTGCAAAGTTTATATACCTCTTTCTGGTTGAAAAGGCGGTATGCTGCACAGTTGAGTGTGATTTCGGGGTCATGGATGACTGACGCGCCGCAGCACATCATTCGCGGCACGCCAAAGAAGAGAATTGGCTCGAGATTGTACATGTTCAACTCTCTAGGTATGATTGCGGTGTATCTGGCAGTCGTAATTCTCAACTTTGTATTGTACGTTGTATTGTGTGTCCTCGACATTTTGGTGCAGCGACTTACAACCATGTTAAATCTAGTCGGATAGCCAAGCTGCAGGATGGGGAATGCATCATCGGCATGAAGAGCTTTGCCATGATTCCACTCATTTCCTTCGACGCTGTTGTCAATGTATACCTGACAATCATTTTCCTCATTCCGCTCCGCAGTGAGTTCTTACCCGGTCGTTGGGGGAGGTGGTTTGCACACTCACGTTCAAATAGACCTCTACTCATACAAGAACATGCCTCGCACGCACGCAAATATGCGACTTCGAACTATTGCTTTCAGAACATTTTGTGGAGCAGTTTGCACGCTGCTAAGCAGCATAGTGTATGATGACGCTCTGAAAGATGTCTATTTCACTTGTGGTTTGGCCAAGAAGATACTGACCTTCTTAGAAACCTGTGTGCGTTAATGTCACTTGATGGTGAGCCAGGATGGGTGTGTCTGGTGAGCTGCAATTGCGACAGTAAGTTCCAGCCTCCCACTTTCCATCCAAGGCCTATTTATCCAAAGCTGAGCAACTAGTTATTTTTTCCGCTGCTGTCATCCAATGGGTTACATCCAAGGACAACATGGGTACCTCGACGGCCTCGTCAACAAACGGCGTGATCAATGGGAGAGAAGCCCTAGGTCACGAATCAATCAGGGTACTCACTCCATACGCAGCGGATTTCTCGACAGCGTCAAGTCCTGTTGACCTCTCCTTGGTAGCTTCAGCCCGGTGCTCAACGCAGGCCGACATGCACGCGGACAATGCCACAAGCGCCGGCGGCGTAATCATCACAACCACCATCGAACGGGAGACCAAGCTCGGCGGCGGCAGCAAGTCCCAAGGGAGCCCAGTGGGTATCCCGATGGGCCGCGGATACCAGGAATGCTATGCCGGTGAGGAGGGCTGTGCAACTTTCCAAGACGACCCCCAAGGAGCATACGGCTCTAGAGTGAACATCACCGCGGGCCAGCCTTAGCCCGAACCCCCTTTGGCTACAGTGGTGGGATGTCTTTGACTTTTTTGAATTCCTTCCTAAACACACTACTTGTACAAGCCACTGGAGATTGTTTGAATACATAGCTGTAAAGGGGGCGTTTTGTAACTAAGCATGTTATCGCGTCAATGAGACTGTCCATGGACTACTCCGGACCGAGTGCTCCACAGGACATTCATTCACTGTCTGTCAAGAATCCTGTCAAAGAGTAGTGCTGTCTCAGCCACCAAGACACTCCATTGTCCATGTCATCACGGCATTTTTACCCGCGTCCAGAATGTACTAGTTTCGCGGCGGGAGACATTGAAATGCCAGCCCACACTCGCGGAGCTTACTATAATGTCCGATATGAGCGGCAAGACATTTGACATTCAAACGCCAGCAAGCAAGCCACAAATCACGGCATACAATCGAGTGGAGAAAAATGCAAAGACATCAATTGTCGTGGCTCGTAAATCTATGTCCATCCCGGACTGGTGATTCCGTGGTGCAAGATACCCGGGGGGGTGTCGTAAACGAGTGAATAAGCGCATATTTAACCCGCCAAAAAAAAATCATGGGAACACAAAATGCTCGATCCTGGTGGCCACGGACTTGAGTCTCTCAGGTACGCCATGTGACATGCGAGAGTAAGTCGGCCCAATATATACATGAGAATGGAAGACTTCTTTTGTTGATCCCTTGCGCCCGGTCATGTCCCCCCCGGTGATGTATCTTGCCCTGATTTCTGTAAACCCCCCATCCCCATGGGTTTGTGCCTATCCCTTATCCGATGAGTGAAGCAAAAAGTGAACATGGAGAAAACGAAGCGGGTATCCCCTAGCGAGTGTACAAGAAGAAGAAAGAGAATAAGAGAATCGTCATTCAGTTCTTTGTTTTTTGTATCTAAGCTGAGGCGAAGATCTTGCCGACGGAGCTGAGAGACGTGGCTGATGACAGCAAGCTATTGGGCTGGATCATGAAGTACGAGTAGCCGTAGACGTAGTCGAGAGAATCGAGCTTGGGGATGGCCTTCGTCATGAAGTCATCGATCTCGGAGGCAGAGCCGGTGGGAGCAAACTCGGTCACGAAGATAGGCTTTTTACCGCAAATTACATGGGCTTCTTCGATGTGTTCGAAGAACTTGTCCAATTGCGCAGCCGGGGAGTACCAGTGAACGTTGCAGAAGTCGTATTTGCAACCCTTGGTCTCGCACTCAGAGACAAATTGCTTGAGCCAATCTCTACCCTCTCCCGGTACGTTGCTATTGGTGATGGCCGGAGCGCCAACAAGAGCCTTGCCATCGCAAGGATTCATGTACTTTACGTGGTTGGTGGCAGCGTCGGCAGCAGACATGTCGGACTGGCCTGCGTTGTCGGGTTCGTTGAAAGAGAAGACAGCCTTGGCACCGTTGGCCTTGCTGCAAGAAGTGCCCCAGCGATCAAAAAAGTCCATCTTGTTACCCCAGAGCATAGGAATGTAGCTGTAGGAGTGGTCCAGGGATCCAGGAGAGTCGCCCCAGTTGTAAGCCCAACCGCAAGCTCCAGACTTGCACTCCTTTCCGAAAAGGTTGGCAAGGTTAGGATCGTTATAAGCAAGACCACGCTTGCCAGAGAAAGGGGCTCCTTTGCTGGAACCAGAATTATCGCCGCTGCCCGAGCTGGGGGCAGGTTGAACCTGGGAGACGGAGCTGGGGGCAGGCTTAACCTGAGTGACTAAACTGGTGGGAGAGGGAGCCGGGGCCGGAGCAGAGCTGGAGAGAAGAGCCTGGAAGTTGGCAGGAGCGTCGATCTTGGGCGTGGGAGTAACGACGACGTTCTGGGAGGTGACACTGCCGTCGTTGGTCTGGGCGGTAGGCTCAGGAGCAGGAGCTCCCTCAGTTACATAGACAGTCGTGAAAACGGTGACCCAGTCGACGACATCCTGCTTCTTCTGCAGCTTGTGCCCATGTCGGTGCAAGCTAAAGGCGGATGCCTGCTCGATGGCGGCGATGGCACCAAGCAGGGCAGAAATCTTGTTGGTGTACATGGTGAAGGCGATTTGTCTATACCCAAAGTACTGCTTGTAAGGCGTTGTTGATGATGATAAGGATGAAATGCTGCTTCTTAGAAGTCGAATTGGACTTTACAGTTATCGTGTTGTTGTTGATGAAGGACGGGTTGTTACAGCGCAAACGCAACCTGATATTCTTCGGCACGGCCGTTGAAGGAGAGAAAATCTGGTGAGGCAATCTTTCAAAGATGCGAAAAGGAATGGACAAGTGCAGGTGCAAAAGCAGCAAAAGGAAGAGCTGATTTGCAAAGAGGAAAAAAAACAAACGGGTCGAAGCTAGCGACCTTGTTGCTGTTGTTCGTGCTCGAAGCAGAAAGGAAGGACAACAGAAGCGTTGCGTGTTGAAGGAATGTAAAGTACCTAGGTAGGTGACGGTGAAGAGAAGGGCAAAAGAAAATCGAAACAAAGTGGTGAGGTGGAACGAGGTAGAAATATCGGAAACTAGTTCGGGAGGGAGAAGACAATGTGCACAGTGAATGCCAACGTTGCGGCGTGGTGAGAAGGGTGTGTATGCGGAAATGGGGTGTCGGCCAGCGTGAATGATGAGTGGCTGGACTCAGGGTGCGTAAGAAGGCAGGGTGTGTGTTAATCAACGGCGGGACCTGTCCGTAGATTGGTTCCTAGATCCGCCAAACATCCAGTAAGATTGGTGGCCCAATGAACATTGAAGACGGAGGGAACGAATAGCCGCTGGCAGAACGGCACAGGCGGCACCTCAGGCGGCATCACAGACTTGTGGGCCTGTTCAGACGGTAGCACGAGTCTGGTCTGGTGGGGGAGGCACCCAGGTTCAGAAGCCTAGTGGAGACATGGACGAGCCCTGGGAGCCCACTGATGCGTCCTTTGAAGCCTGCATGTGGTGCTGGTCCCTCAAACGCCCAGAACTAACGTCTGGTCTGGTGCTACTGATGAAATCCCGTGCCTGGCAAAGGCTCAGATTCCAACGAACCACAATGCCAACGCGCCGAGGAGAGCATATGACAGGTACGGCGCCAACTGGGCGAGGTTACAGGCTTTGTTGTCTCCGTAGCACTGCATACAGGATGGAGCACGAGACCAAGAGTTGGATCATCCAACCACCGCGAGTAGCGTCGTGTCCGCATCCATGAGGCGGGCCCGTTTGTGTTCAGACGTCAACGTCCTTTTCACATGGCGTCGTAAGCCGCATTGTACAGCATCATGATTGGCAACATTGAACCAATTCGCTGTTTTGCTGCCGCTGCACATGCAAGATTGCCAGCACCGTGCCGCCAGTATAAGGACAGTTGTCTTGCTGTGTTGTGTATCGTTTAGGCGACGCAAACACGATAATTTAACGAAACGGACAGCTGCCGAACAGGCGCAGGCACATAAAGGCATTCTCCCTACGGAGTACAAGTATGCACTTAGTACTCGGTACTCCGCAAGGAAGCAGCAACAAACAAAGCCACTTGGCCCCTTTCTGCAAGGCACCAGACACCACTCCGAACCCGATGCTTATCCGCACAGTTCCAAGGTCCCCTTGGCGGAGCATTTGTCTCCAGTCTCCCTACCTCTACGTGGTGCACATGTGCTTTCTGTCGACCAAGGAGACGCCAAGATGATGCAGCAAGTGGCATACAATGGCATACATACTTACTGTACAGTACAATCATCTGTATCCTGTCTTTGCCAGAGCACACGCGGCCCCTTGTTGGATTGTGTTGTCCATCCATGTCGAGCACTATTTCTTTGGCAGGCCGGGATGCTTGGACGAGGGATGACTCTGACCCGAGCCAGAACTAGTAGTATCACGCAGCAGGGGTGCCATGCTCTGCTTCTCCATATTACTCGGTACGTCGCGAACGACGGCCTCCAAGGATCGAGCCATTGACGAAGCTGTGCTTCACGGTCGAGTGTCGAGTCCAGGCTCTTTGACACGATTTGAGCATTGGCGGTGGCGGTGAAAAGAAAAGACAAAGCTCTCGATAGACAGTCCTGAATGGGGAAATCGGCGTGCACTGCCATGAACTGCTTGGATTGTACGGAGTACAAGTCTCCAGTCGTCCCGTATTCAAAAGGCCAAGGACCAGAATGAAGTCCGAGCTGTATATTATCTTGGCCCGCAGGACCGCGTGTTTTCGCGGCTGTGTAGCAAGACAGGACACGGCAGAAACCGTCGAAACTTGAGCCATCTGCAAGCAACCTGAAGGCCGCGAGCTTCTAGCTTCTTTCAGCTCCTTCTTAGTTCCGAAGTTGCGTTCCCATCCTGGATTCCTGAGTCGTGCCCAGAAGCGTCAAGTTTGCTTTGCAACAACCAGTGCATCTGTACCGAGTACGTATGTACAATTCATTGTTGTACCTTTGCCGGCCCCGCCACGGACGGAAAGGGAAACAATGGAGTAAAATCCCCCCGACAATGAGGAAAGGAAAGAACACTTGACATTGCATGGATGCCCCATCAAAGGCAGCATGGCAGCATTGTCCTTTACTCGGGCGCGGAAGGGCAGGGAGCATATCCGCGAAAGAGTCAACCGCTAGTTCCTTCCAAATGCCTGTCAAGGGCATGTTGTTGTTGTTGTTGTTGTACGCACTAGTATGTACGTGCCTGAGCGGGTTGTTTCTTTTGCTCGCATTGGCCAACGGCGTCAGGAACAGAGATCTCGTTGGCCCATTGGAATCCGTCGCCCCATCGCCCCATCACCTCTTCTGCAGACACACGGGCTAGGCAGGCAAGGTACGGATTCTGCACGTTGCCAGCGCCAGGACCCCCTGTCCAGGAGACAGAGCTCCAGTGGGCTTGCACCTACCACCGCACCTTCCCAAAGATTCCGCCCGTGGCGGCCAATCGCGGCAGGAAACAGCCCATCCGCCGAACGATCTGAAACGACGCTGACTGACGAAGCACATGGTTCTCGTTTCCTCACTCGAACGTTTCGATCGACCGCCATCCACAGGACTTGCAGAGCTTTCCCCCAACTCCCAATTCACCGTCCACGATGACCGCACGGAGTACGGGGTACTACTAGTAGTAGGTACAGAGTACTCCATATTTCAGGGCAGCCTCTTCTCGGCCCATCTCCAGCCATCTCCCGGTTGCTCCAACGCATCGCGCCCCGCCCCTGTCCGATAAAACGCCCTCGTACCTACAGTAGCGCCATGCAACCCTGCAATCATGCCAGCTTCTCGCGTTGGCGGCTGCAGGAACGAAGAGGACAGAATTGCGTGGCCTGCGTGGCCCGATGGCTGGGCAGGAATAGTCATCATTCCCCTACCACATCCGAGAATGCAGCGTTGGGCAAGGCTCAAGAGCTCTCTACGCATTAGCCCGAAGAGAACCTTCAATGTTCATCGTCAGCAGGCATTCGCAACATTTTTTACAGTACATTGTTTACGTACTCAAGTACTCTTGCCCATCACATGGTCATGTCTGGCCATGTGCCATACCGATATGCAAGGTTTCCTTCAGTCCTCCTCCACATGACTATGTGGGAACAACTGATTGCTTGTGCAAAACTTAAAAAATACCGCAACTGTCGAGTCGCACAACTGGCCTGGTTATCTCCCCCAAAAAACCACCAAACTGGCCACGAAACCGGACGCTTGAAACCGTGTTGACTGGCCTAAACAAAGCACTGCGGAAAATGTGTTGGTGCTAGTAGTACCATGTGCAGCAGTACGGAGTACTACGTACAGCAACTACCTACCTAGTACGTAGGCATGGTGGAGAGCATTGTTCAGGTGCTATTGAACACCAGGCGATATTACAATACCGTTTGTGACGCACTGTACAGTAGTCCTTGGAAGGCACCCCTTTGTGGCATGATTCGTCAGCCGCTTGTTCGTCTGAAGTCTGGAGGCATAATGAATCTGGTCACGGGTCAAACCCAGAGGTGACAATGAAACGTGGCCGACGTGTTCGGCCGAGGATGCTGAATGTTTCAGACGCAAAGGTGTCTGATGTGTCGCTGATGCGCCATGAGGAGCGAGGTGATTGAGATGAGGTGGCAACCACTGCAGCCTTGAGCCTGAGATTGAAACTGACCCCCCATCCCAGCAAGGTCTGTTCCTTCAATATTGCTTTAGCAGCAGAAGCAACCCGGAACTACTCGGTACAGAGTACACATGTATCGAACGCCGCTATGGAGGAGTACCAGTGCATCAGGTCAGTGGCTCCTGGTCAAGGTGCCAAACCATGCATACCCGACGCGCGCGTCAGCGAGCCCATTTGTTTGATACCAGTCATCTCATCACCTCTCTGTTATGGCTGGGCTTACGGGGCCTGAAGAGGCTCAATCCGTATGTACATACGTGTCTCTGTTTCATGGCGTGGCCGTCACGATAATGAATATGGCGTCTCCCGGCGGCAAGCACATGCGGACATAGTCTTGGCGCTTACGTTTGCTCCCTTGGCCAGCAAATCCACGGAACTGCTGGTCGGCAAAAAACCTGAGACTTGATAGCATTGTGCCAAGGGACCAGAGTCGCGTGCCATTGCACAGTAGTACCGTCGACCCATTTACCCGCCATCATTCGTATTGCCCGGCGGTGGCACTTGCACCTTTTGCGGCATTCTTTTGCCGTGGCTTTTTTTGTGCCGGTTGGGTGAGCCAGGTACGGAGTACGGAGTACTAGTTGTCATTAATTATCATGCCCGGCACAGAAGCGCTGCCGATTTCCGAACCACCTTGCAACTCATGCACCCTTAGTAGCGGGTTTTAATTTCGCTTCCAGCGTCTTGGTTTGAGGAATTGTCCGCTAGTGAGACTCGATCGGATGGACGGCAGCTCATGATGAGGAGGCGCATGGGAAATTAAATGTGGTAGGGGTCCAGGGTCATGATCGGGACGGCGCGGGGTGGGTTTTTGGGAGGTTGTCCTTTTCCGGGCTTTGTGGAAATGAGACGGGGAAATGGGCATGACGAGTGAATATAAACTCGTCGTAGAAGCTGGTTGGATTCGAATCGTGTGGTTGGGCTGAGGTAGGGAGGTGCTGACGATGTCGAGGAGGGTGCAAGCACTGCAAGGGGCATGTTGGCGAGACCCTGGTTGAAACGTCGTTCTGTGGATGGTCGCGAGGGCTGGCTACCTATGGACGAATGATACATGATGAGATGGAGGGATGAACGATGGCCAAGGACTGTGCCGTCATTTGATGAGATGCAGCCGGGTAGGTTTTAACATGGTGGTGTGGTATCCATGGCTTCCGTCACGGTATTGGTATCGTGTGTCATGTGCTACGCGCGTAACTGAGCTTGTTGCATGTTCCTGCTGCTCATACGGGTGACTGGAAGCCGAGCAGACTACGTATGCCTTTAATTTGGCTGGCGGCAAATCACGCTGCTTCTCGCAAGACCATGGTGGCTGGTTGGATATTGCATGTATGCTGCGATGTGTGGGCGGATGAGCACCAGCTGGAGTGGTCAATGGTACATGACGCGCAGCTCCTGTGTCCTTGCCACGCTTGATTGACATCAAGTTGCAGTTTGTCTATGCTGTCTGTTGAGATGTATTCGTCTGAATTCAAGATAGGTCCTCATCGAGGTCGTTTCTTACACCAGGGTATCCTTCATAGCAGCATGTTGTTCCGCCAAATGCTGAATCTGTCTCGAGTTGGGTCTCACCTCTGAGGTCCTGGGATCTCAAACGGGGTATATCCTTGTATGCCTGGTTATGAATAATTCCATACCTATTTTTGGCCCTCTGTATTATACATATTTTAAGGTCTAGCAAACTGATGTCTCTGCAAATATCTACGCATAGACGCATACTCTATAGGGTAATCCAGCCCGTTGGGACTTCAAGACTGATTCTGGAACCTTGTTTCTTGTTTCGGATGCTCCATGCTCTCCAAGCACCCCGTACATCTCTTGACATTCTTCTCCTGAGTCATCCCATGACCGTTTACTACGATGACAAAGTTTGCTAGTCCCGCTACTCTATCACAGGTGACTAAGACAGAATTAGTTGCCGACGTCAGATTAAGAAACAGCATTCTTGTGTTTAATCATGCTGTCAGGTCATGCGCAAACGTTGTGTCACAAGGGTCTAAGACAACTACCGAAAGTAAAACTAGTGGCACGTAGTCGCGCTTGTCATAGCAGAGACAGCGGAGCAGAAGTCGTGAGCAACTCCCCCTGAATACGCCGTCACCTTGAAAGAGGAAGCTGGCGTTACGGCCCCGTAGCAAGCTTGGAATTATGACTCGACAGGACAGAATATAGCTCCAAATAGCCCTGCCATAAGCTCTGCATCACTGAGTTTGAGTGACAATGAGTCTGACCCGGCTGTATGGGGCCGCCGTGCTATCTCGACACCAAGTTGCTAATGAATCGACAACCGGCCTGAATTCGCTACAAATCCAGCTGTAGAGGAGCCCATCTACCAGTCACCTCACCGCGAGAATGCCGTAAGAAATTTCATAAAGATGACAGCAGGTTCACGGAAGATCAAGCTATCAGCTACGGAAATCGTTAAAGATGTTGCCAAGAGGACCACATATAATGCCATGGCTGGTCTCCCTCTTCCATAGTCGTTGTCGACTTCTATCGCTGACGAGGCTATCTCATCTTCCAGACTACTTGTCCTAGATGCCCACAACGGTTATCAGCTCCTGTGTGGATGCCATGGCGAATCAGCGTGTCGTATGAACAATCGCAAAACAGACATGGTCAAGCTCATGGCTTTCGTGGAGAAGCTACTCGCGTTCAAATATGGCTCCCAGAGCAACTCTTATTAATACGCACCGACGAAGTTCTCGAGAGTGATTGGAGAAGAAACGCCACCTTTCTACCAACGAGATACTACGTGCATGATACAAATCAACTTCCCACGACTATGGCACTTGCGCTGAAATGGCGGCGCTGAAAAAATAGGACGCGACTAGATGAACGACTTGCTTATGAAATAGAAACAGAATTTTTCATCCAACCACAAGGTCTTGTTGGCTCAGAAATGCAGCAGGACATTCAGCTCATCTTGGCTTAATAACTCGCCCGACACCTCTGTATTAAGCGTTTACAAAGAAGCCCCTATCGCAAGTGGGAAGGGTGACTTAAAACCATTGGCCATGTAAATCGCTAGTCGTTTTGTAATATCATCCATGGACAGCCGCGCAGACGTAGACTAGACTGTTGGGCGGGTTCAATACATGGTTTACGGCATGTATCCTACGGGCTTCGATTTCCAGACAAGGACGTTTTGGAGACTTGGGGAAATATCATTTAAAGGACAGTACTAGACGTATAGAAGGCGGCCCAGTAAGACTTTTGTCACCCAAACAAGGCCAGATCATAGATGAGTGGAAAGCTGTCTGTCCATGAGCCTGGGTTTCCGTATCAAAAGATTTGACTTGACTTGCGCCTGCTGGCTCACTAGGACTCCACGTCTACAAGCTTGGCACGTGTAATTGGTATTTGCATCCAAAACTGCCTAGTACATGATCCAGCCGGCAGAATTACAATGCAAAAATGCGTAATATATTGAAGCACTCTACTAACTAAATCTCCCCAGACCAAGAACAAAGACGCCGCAAACCAAATCTACATGTTAAAAGGGACCCCGGGGTATTCCCTCCCATAAGAAAACCTCCAAAAAAAAAGCACTCACGGCCCGCCCGACGCACCGGCCAGGACCATAAACTGCGCCGCCCTCCTCCGATCAACCTCCTTCTTCAGCATGACGAGGCAGCTGCTCAGGACGAGGACCTCCGCAGCCCTCGCCTCGGTCTTGCCGCCCACCCACTCGCCCAGGTCCATGAGCAGGCGGCCGCCGTTGCCAGCCGTGGCCCCCGAGGTCCCCGGCGTGCGCAGCGCCTCGCTCCTCACGAGCTGCGCGACCCTCGTCCGCCG